TGACCTAAATTTTAACAAAATAAATGAAATATTGTTGCCGAATTCGTATCACTTTGTCCTTTTCATTTGTATTTTAGCGATTTAAGAAAATTTGCTAATTTAAATTTAGGTATATAACTATTGTGATCAGCTGTTTCATAACTGTGTCGCTCAAATTATCGTTTGCTGAATTCACAAATTTAACACGCAAGTAAATGATATACATATTGCTGAAAAATGCGAATAAAACGTCGTTTTTGCGACATATCTCTTTTATCAACAAATTTCAAATTCACTTGTTTGTAGATATCTCTTTATTAATTGTACAGTAATTTTCCAAGACCTATTGTTAGTTCTATTTTGAAAGACAGTAATAAAATTGTTAAATCGAGTAGGCATATGAGTTGAATGTTTAATGTTTTTATTTTATCTTAGCTTGTTTCGAAGATGCTAATAAGGAAAGGGAAAAAATTCTTCCATTCTATCCATAATATATTTTTATTAAAATGTTCAATACTGTTTTTAAAAGTTATCATGCAAAATGTAGCAATAAATAATGGCAATAAATGCAATAAATAATTGCATAAAATTATTAATTGTACGTTATGTCTAATCAGTTCTTGCGAGACAATTATTTTTAGCCCAAAGAAGGCACTATAATTCATTGAACCATAATATTACAGTTGAATTTCTGAAAAATATAAACATGTTATGTTGATTTTATTAGTTATTTAATAATAAGCGTTTAGCAATCTATGCTCACTTTATCGTTTCCCAAGCTAATATGTAGTCTCCACAAAGAATCGTTTTTCCTATATGCCCAAGATGATGAAGAATGGAAGGATTGACAGTTTATTTTTAATGCATCCCAATTGTTTTTAATAAATATTTTTGCAACCTGCAAGCTCTGATTATAAATCATTCACACGCTATTAATGTTAAAAATTTCTGGGATCGTTTCTTGCTGCAGAGCATTTAAGACTTTTTTTTTAAGCAAAGAAAACAATTAAATAAATTATTAGGTATTAGATTTTTCCTATATGCCCAAGATGATGAAGAATCAAGTGGGTATCATGAAATGATATTTTCTCAACGGCCAAGTTATTCAACAGGCCAGTGCTTCTACTGATCTACAAAAGTTGGTGCTCATCTTGTCAAGGTGTATTACATATTTCATAAAAAAGCCACTAGCAAATTGATCATTTGATTTCGAAAGATATAACGTTAAATGCAAGAATAAGTGTACATTTTAGTACTTTGTGCTTTAGAATATGAACATTTTTTCCCATTCATAAGGATGCCGACAACAAATTGTGCTTAATCAAGGAATCTCCAAGTCAAATCAGATTGATTAATTTAACTTCACCATCACTGAAGAATAAATTTGAAAAATCAAATCGGCGTGATGAATTGATGGTTACTATAAAACTCCGTTTTTTTTTTTTTCGCGAGTTAGTTTTTCCACACTGTTCCTTTTTCCTGTATTTTTAAGAACCTTGACACTGCAGATACATTATTATCATCGTTCAATCCGATTTCTCAGCATGGTGTGACTTACTCCAACAACGTAAACAAAATTATAAAATAACGTACGTCAGATTGCATCTACTCATTGTTACTACGCATTGTTTTTACCATAGCAGTTTAGGTTATTGAAGGAAGGAATGATTCCAGTGTAACTAAAGTCCTTCAGCTTGTAATCAAAATTCTTATAGTACGCAGTATTTTTTTACAAAAACAGCTTTTGTTTTCCAGGAACCAGCAAGTCCTTCCGCTAATCATTACTTATTGTTTATTGTTTTGAGTTTTTGCAAACTGAACTCAATAAAAACAGATGTAAATGGAGATGTTCTGAAAGGGATGGAAAATACTAATTATCCGGAAAACAAGCATTATTTTCCAGATATACCCAAAATAAGTGAAAAAATGGAAAGCGCTCTGGAAGTGTTCGGCAGGCAGCATGTCGGTTTGATTTAATTTCATGTTAAGCTTAAAATCCGGAACAAAGTCAAAGTAAGTATTACAATTACTAATTTTTATTCTTAAAACAAGCAATTTCAACGCTATCTTCGCTTCTCATTCAATTTAATTTTCACGGAGTGATGAGTAGAATAGAAGATGAGTGAAAAACATGAAAATGAAAAAAAAAGAGGAAGAAGACGAGAATGCTAAAGCCAAAGACATATCTGAAAGTAAGAAGAGTAAATATGTAATAAAACGAAAAAATGAACTGTAGTCTAATTTATTTTACGTAAATATACTACTTACATCAATTGAAATAGACTGTTATAATCTTCTTTCTTTTCTACTTATAGTCTTCTTTTCTGCAAAGACTTTAGAGTAAATAGTATCCTTACCTCATTTAAATATTTAAAATCCTTTTTTAATATATTATTTTTTTTTAGTATTTAAAAATTTTTAGAAAAGAGTAAGAACTTTATTGAAGAAATATAATCAATTAATAACTGATTAATCTTTGAACTAACGAGAAATTCTTATTTAAAAATTTGAAAATTATTGGAATGAAGGAGAAATCGGATGAAAATTTTTCACTAGATAAGGTTATGACTTTTGGTTGACAAAAGCAGCAATAAACGTTTGACCACACAATAAATATGTCCTAAATATTGTTATCAGTTGTAATAAGCCAATATCGGTCGTACTATACACCTCAAATTTGGGTAATAAAAGTTCATTGTTTGATAATTTTACCTCGAAAGTGCATAGGAATAAAAACAAATAAAATAAATACTATAAATGAGAAGTGACTCTATATGAGAGAAGTTGATGTTCTGAAATAAAGGATTTCAGTTTGTAAGGAGAAAAATATGATGATCCACATCCAGTACAAGAGTGGTGGGACAAAGATACAAGCTGCTTTACTTATAAATAATTAAAATATTGCAAAAAAGCAAATCTGACGGAAAAACATTTTTATAGAAAAATTAAACAACAAATAGCTTCACTTTTTGTATGTATTATTCATCCGGCATTGTTTTCATATACAAATGGTTCATAGTTGACTTTGAGAAGGAGTCGGCAAATTTCAGAGTAAGAAAGTTTAAGGAAATTGTATGTTGCTTGGATTAGTTATCCAATAAAACTTAAAATAGAATATTCTTTTCAAATATGACTGAGTTCCAAAAAATTACGCCATACTTGGACCTATTGTTGAAATTATTATTGATAAAAGCTTACAGATGACCGAGAGGAATGCTATTGTAATTTACTGCTTTTTTTTGCTTTTGAAAATTTCACTAAAACTCCAACTCATTGAAAATTGTTGAGTTTTATTTTTACATTATGAAATATTTGTCCCAAATTTCATGTTGTTTCTTAGATCTCTTATCGATTTCTTTTATTTTTGTTCCAGAGAAAGTCTCAGTGATTTATTAATAGTGCTTGAAGTGAATCTCTCGCAAAGGCAGTTCAAACAAACTAAATTTGAAATTTTGCATCTATATCGATAATTGTTGGTAACAACAAAGGGAATAGTAGTGCGAACGGCAGAGATCAAAAAGTGATGAGCATATTAGGCAATATTCATAAAGTTCAAATTTATCTCTTTAATTTATTTCTTGACATTTTACTGAATTTTTTGTTTACACACTATATTTTATCAAAAATAAACTGGAATTTAAGCAATAAACAATGGAAATGCATGCAACTTTTGCTGAAAAATTGCTTATGGTATTCATGTCGTGCAACATAACTAAACGTTAGTGGTCATACTTTTTCCTTTAGCAAACAATTAATTTATTATATCTATTTTAAAATCACATGATCAGCGAGAAACTTACATTGCAGATATCTGCAATCTGTGGACTTGTTGTGCATTCAATTGACTGAATCCATCACAGTACTGTAGAAAATATTACGAAAGGCGTGAAAAATGCAGAAAATCCACGAGTTATCAAACGAATCTAAGTTTTGCACTTAGTGTTTGAAACTGAAACGTAATTCTTGAATGATACTGAATAATCCCTTGATGGCATTATTAAGAAAAGATCAGATAGCTGATTAAATTAAATTCCGATGAAATTAATTCAACAAATATAGTGAGTAAGCATGTTTGCTTCAGTATTATTATAACTATTAAATATTAAGTCTGGTACGGAAATGTCAAGCATGGGATCTAAGTCATCATTTTAAGAGGGAGAGAGAGAGAGAAAGAAAAAGAAGAAAGCCATCCTGCACCTCAGAATTGATCATCGATATTTGTCTCTTGGATGCGTAGCAAATGCATGTACCACACATGTAGAAGTGTAGTGTAGGCGCTTCAGACACAACATATAAACTGGACCTAGTCTCCGACCTTATGCCGTACCTCGAAGTATTCCCTTTGGCAAATTTCTGAACTGGAAATTGAACCTACCTATTTGTCATTAACTTTCAAACAATTACATATAACTTTTTCTGATTTTGATTGGATCGGTGAGAATGCAGACGGTAATTGTTTCTTATTTTAACACAAGAAATGGTCTAAGCATATCATTCTATCCATGTTCTACAGTTTAATAACAACTAAGTATTCAGAGATTCCCACTTTCAGTCTTGAAAAGAGATTTCTTGTGGAATCTCAATTTTTGCTGTTTTTTTATTGTTTTCTTTCTTTGTGAAAGTAATCTCTCCTAACATTTCGACGTTTTTCATATTCTGAAACTTAATTTTGAGAAAGCAACCCTTCTAAAAGCCTCATTTTGTACAATTCCTCGATATGTACAGACCTTTCAGCATGCTTTCACTTGAAACACTTCTTCCATCTTTTTAGAAGAATTTTAAGAAATCAATTTTATAAGTAATGGCAACAATGTATTGCTCACAATTTGTGCAAAATAAGAGTTTATTTTGAATCCATTAGGCGAAAATTTTTTAGCCAAAATTTTCCTTCCGAAAAATGTCGTTGATTTCTGTACTTAGAAAATTTATGGGATGTGTGTATCCAAACCGTTTCATAATATTTAAAGCAAAGCACAATTATGCCCTAATGCGATTTTCTTTTTCCGATCACTCAACTTCAAATGGTTATACTCAACTTTAATGTTGGCGGACGGCAGTATTCCACAACAGCAAGCACACTAATGCAAGAAAAACAGTCTCTATTTAATCAGGTTAGTTTTATTTCCACTAAATTTCTTTCCTTTTATTTAAATTATCGGACATTTGTCCTCTAAAACTGTAATGTGACGTGACTGTAAATCAACCTACTTTCTTAGTTCACAATAACCATTGTCACCTTGTCATGTCGTGGTTTTAAGATTTCAAAGAATCAAATGTAAATAAAATTTTTTAATTAGTGGTTTACTGGAGAAACTGCACAACCGCCGTTAGAAAAAGACAGCAAAGGAGCATATTTTATCGATCGAGACCCAACGAGGTAAAAATTACGAACTCCAACAATTCTATTCCTGCTATATGAACACGAAAATTTGTTAGAGTTCATAATAAGGTAGTTAACAAAAACGATTCACTATAAATCAAGAGAACCGATCGTTAATCCTCTCATTTTTTTTCTCTAATTTAGTGACTGTGACTTAAAAAGTAACACATATTTCAGTTTTGGAATAATCTTGAATTATCTGCGTTTGAAATCTACTAAACAGCTATGGGAAGCTTGCTTACCGAAAGATCCAGATCGTTTAGCTCTACTAACACAGGAAGCTGAGTATTACAAGTTTGTGTTAAATCACAGAGCCTACAAATGCTACTTCTTGACCAAAATATTATATCTATCCCAGTTAGAAAGGAAGCTGTAAAAACCTTCAATTACCGTCTAACACCTTTAAACATATAGCTTATACAAACATCAACAACATTTCTACTCTCCTTCTAGGTTCATAAACTGATTTGCAGACTGCACCAACTCCGCGAACAAGCCATTGCCTTACTTCAAAGCTGCACAGAAAAATCAGACGTTTCATATGTAAATGAAGTAAACCCTATCTTTTATAAACTCGAGTTCAAAAATATTTGAAATTAAATTTCTGCAAGAGTTACACAATACCATTAAATGTTTGGCCTACTCTTATAATTTCTTTATATTAGAATTCAAATATGTAGTTCCACATTTTAATTACACAGTCATATATACAATACATAGATACAAATTATTTAGCAAAAAACCTCCCCAAAAAAAAGACTTAGCGCACGCTGAGTATCAAAATCACATACTTGCAGGTCCTCGCAAAAAGTTTTAGCTGTCCACAAGGTCTTGATGGGAGAGGTTGCAAGAAGTAACAAAAGCGCATGAGAAATTGAACTACTGCAAATTATCACTACTGCAGAAGATAATACGTTATCACTGGACGCCTTTCAACAACGATCATCACTCCCGATGTGATCCAGTCATTACTATGTTTCTTTTCCAGCTAGGATTTTCCGAATAAAATAGCACTCAAAAGTTTCCCATAACAGATCATAAACGATAACTACGAAAGATTTAAAGTGTAATATACTGATGATCACAAGCAACAAATTAAGTAACCTAAATAAAATTAATTTGAAATTTATTTTACTTAAGTGACTTGAAACAGTTACTGTTTAAACCCAACTACCGACTGCCAATTCTTTTTGTCAGTAATCAAACTGCAACTAATCAATAAGAAAAAATGGATTTCTTTCATATAGAGAATGCATTATTTAGAGGATGCAATTTGCAAAAGCAAAAATAAAGGAAGAAAAAATGATACCTTGGAGCGGCTTAAATATAAAAGTGAAGTTTTAACCTAAATTCGGATATGTGCGCATGCACCAATGGATAACTGTGGAAAATGAAGGACAGAGTTAGAAATCATAAAGTGCAAAGCGTAATGAGGAACGCTCTCGAAAAAAAAAAAAAAAAAAAAACGAAATGCAAAGACTTAATACTATAAAAATAATACTATGACTTAATATTATAAAAAAAAAAAAAAGAGAAATATTTCAAATTTATTTATTTCTAGTTATTTTTCGACCATGCAGGAATACAGCCTATATGCATTGACATCATTTTGGATTAAATGTATTTTGAAATCATGCATATGAAATACATGTACACAAGCAGATTCGATTTCAAAGTGTGATAAAAACGATGGAGACGTATTCAGAAATTTTATAAGTTCACGTACGTCATGCAGAAAAGATGCAAAACTGTGGGCACAGAAGTATGATAAATATAATTCTCCTGTCTAAATTTGTATACACTGAAAATATTTGACGAAAAAGTGCATATAGAACTTAAAAAAGATGTTTACTATCGTTGCATAGTCCAAATACGAGGTAGAAACTCTGTTTTTATAAAACAGATATTATTAGCAGTATGTTTCCTGCACTGTGAGAGAAAAAAAAAAAGTTCAAAACAACGAGTGAATGGAAGTTATGATTTTACACACGAAAAATCTGCTCAGTTTAGAAGCTTCAGAAAACCGCGAGAATGGAAAAGATGACAATAAATTTCATGCGGAAGGTCGAATCTCATGCAACGAAAGAAAAACAGTTGAAATTTTCTAAAAGTTAAAATGAGCCTTATCAAATGAGGATTTACAAAAAAAAAAATTACAGATAAGGTGTTCTGATAAAGATTAGAATTCATGTCGTGTTACAGCTACTGCTGTCTATAATGAGTTGAATTATGCAATACACACAAAGAGAAGAAATTTTTGCATGTAGCAAAGTGAAAAATGAAGAAAAAGAGACCTTTTCCTGCTGAAAATGAAACTGCTCAACCACTTATTTGGAATATTCAAAACCATCATCATAAGAAACACCCATAAATACGGAAATGAAAATTCAAAATCAATCAACCCTTTTTACCTATTTGATGAAGTCATAAAGCATGCCTAAATAACAAAACAGATCCCCTCAAAATTCTTTTCCTATTCACTTCTAATCAAACTAATAGTAGGTCGAAAAAGTGAAAATGAACTAAAGCTTGTTTCTCAGGAGATAAAAAGTGAAAGTATGGTTCTAGAAGAAAACTGTTGCAGTAATCAACAAAATTCATCAAATCTGCTTCTTTTCTGCTATTTTGATGAAAAAATAGAGGGTATCATATCATAGACTACACTGTTCTTCACCGTCTTAATGCAGTCTGTCCGGTGCCAATATATCTATAACTAATAGTGTTAAATATAACAATGCATGAGTCGTACAGCACTTTAAAAAACCCTTGCTATTTTTAGATTTGATAAACTAAAATAACAGATAAATGCCGACAAAGAATCCACTAAAGTTTTTCCATTCTTTTATTGATAATTTATACAAAGTTTTGGCCACCATTGTGGTGCAAAAAACGATGAAAAATATGCACTGAAGTAGATTGTAAAGTAAAACGATGAAGTAAAATGAGGCCTAGTAGTATCTTAAACATAGCAACATTAGCTAAGGAAGACAAATGTTCACCAGTAATCAATTATTCACTTTTTTTCTGCATTTCTTTTTTTTTTTTTTTTTGGCAGATAGTTGCTTAAGAAAACTAAGTCGCTCAAGAAGTTATCTTATTTTGCAAGATAACTCTCTTTTTGAATAATAACTAATCACCTGTCACGTTTCATCAGATGTTTCTTTTCATGATCAGTATCACATGTAAGCATAAATATATCTATAGCTACAACCATAAGACCAGAAATCATTATGCCTGCTCCAGCTAGCAAGAAAATGTTGTCGTAACCAGTTAAATTATCACGAATGAAACCTGAAAAGTATTGTATTAAAGATCTCTTCCTGCACATAAATAGAAGTGTACGGTATATTTCCACTTCCCACAGAAAGGATAATTATATTATTAAAAGTGACGACAGAACTACGAATATTTTTATTTGCTTCACCAGGAAAGATAAAGTTACAATTCAACCTTACCGATTAATGCTGGACCGATAAGATTTCCAAGGCCTTCCACCAGACAGAGAATTCCATAACCGGTTTGAAAATCATACAAGCAAAGGATATGAAGAGTAATCACGGATGCTAAGGTGTAGTTCGCGCTAATGAAAAAACCAAAACCAATACAAAGTGTCAATAAGTGAATGTAGGAAGTAGCAAACGGTGTAAGAGCTACACATAAACCCGCTAAAGTTATAAATATGCCATACATTTGAATGATATACTGAAAAAAAGCTTAAGGTAGTGACAACAACAATAAAACCCTAGATAGCAAAGTGTTAAAAATCAAACCATAATCTAGAACGAGATATAAACATTAAAGGTTCAAAAACAAATGATCTTACTTGACTTGTTCGACTCCAGTCAGCGATGACTCCACAAAACAACATGCTCACCATATTTGTAAGACCAATGCTAGATACCAGATACGACGCTTTAGTCTCAGTAACATTATGAATTTCTACAGCATATTCCGGGAAATTGACATATGGTATATCAAAGAATACATAGAGAATAAATGTACTTAACAGGAAAATAGAAAACTCAGGAACTACCAAAACAAGTTTTGTATTGGAAATCCATTCCAGAAACGATTCCCACATCTGAACATATTCCCAAACTTTAAAAAATTTTTGCAGTTCATAAAGCGAATGACATTATATTGTTCCTAAATAAAATAGCAAATCTTGCAGCTTGTACTTCGAAATAATGTTTAAATTTCTAAGAACTGCATTTTGCAATATTAAAAAAAGACTTTACTTTACTCAACCGAATTGTTCTTCGCTTCCGCTTTCTGCGATAACAAATAGCAGGAGCAGAGGGTATCCGTCGGGACATACCAACACCAAATGGCACAAATTTCCATCGGAAACTTAACACATTGGCTGCGGGTACTCGACCTTGTGCTGCACCCAGCTGAGTCGCGATGCATGAACTGCGAACATTGCCGCTTGTAAAAGAAGGAACAATAGTTTCCGCTGCAAAAAGCACGAACTTATCTCACTAGTTAATCCTCGGATTCCAAAGCTATTACTTTCTTTCTCTAATGCACTTATATTCAACAAATTTGAAATGAATTAAGGTACCTGAACCAAATCTTCCTCAAGATATTAGGAATGTTAGCTATAAATACTTGAAAAATTAAATCCCTTGTAAAGAAGAATTTAATGTTTCAAACTGAACTGCCACAATACTTCATCCTCATTCATATCTTAAACGAAGTCTCATATCGTTTAATAAGTTTCGAAAATATGCAAATCTTTGAGTTCTTTCATCGTATAAAAACAGACATACAGGTTTCAACTGTCTGTGTTTCGGATTTTCCTTCCTTAGTGTCGTCGTCTAATAACGGTTCCTTTATTGCATCTTCTTGTACCAAATTATAGCTTTCCATGAATTCCTGATGTATTAAAAAATTACAAGTTCCACAGTTCCAGAATAAAAGTAAGGCTTAACTACGGAAGAAAAGATTTTGGAAAATTTAATCATTTACTAACTAGTCAGCAAGAAGGGAACTGCTCGTTTCCAGGAATATCCATTACACAACTGGAATATATAGCAATTGGAATAATTTGACTAATCATCTCTGACTTTAAATTACCTTTACAAATTTTACATAAATGACTTCGCTCTGTCGACTACTAACCACTTCATCCATACCGTCACCACCACTGAAAAAACAATTATGACGGGATACATTAAAATGTGAGTGCTAAGAATTTGTTCAAGAAGTAACACCGTCAAATGCGGGAAAAAATCTTTCTCAAACTATCGAATTCTGGAATATAACGGAAGCAAAGTATTCGGAAATGTAAAGAACATATAAATCATATTTCTAAATATTTTTAACACACAGAAGACACAAATAACAAAGTAGAAATAGAATACCGAAGCGTCCTCCTTGATAATTTGTTTTCTACTTTAGACATTTGGTTGGATATTAAATCAACAATTCCTGAGTGATAATTTTCCTTCGAGCAAACCTGATAAGGTGATCCCGATAATGTATCAATTCCAACGTTATACACCCCCTAAACTTTAAAAAAAAGCCGGATAAGAACCGTGATAGTTGCCGAAATAGTGCATTACTGATTGATTCGTTGAATGAGAAATTTCGGTAAACTGTTGGATCATAGTTTCGGAATTGGAACATGCAAAAGATGAAAAATTACCAAACCATGCTGTCTAGTATGGCTTACATCAAAAGTAAGTGCATGTCCTCTTCTTGTGTCATTTTCTGGAGCAAGCAAAAATTCACCCATACTGTAACTTTTTGACACTGGTATTTGCAGTTCATTTGCAGCTGCCTTTACCTGTAGATAAAAATATAAGTTTCTAAATACTAGCTACAAAAAATAGATTGTTTGTTAACACTTTCA